CAGTTTCATATAAAATTGTGTGTATTTAAGTACATAAATAACTACAGTTTCTGGCAGCCAATCACGCGAATATCATGGTTACTACTAATACTTATATATTTTATTCGAATAACTAGCGTAAAAAATAAATTTGTGTGAGGAGTACTATTGAAAATTTCCTTACCATCAATAAAAAATAAAAATTTTTTTCACCTCGCCAGAAGATTGCAGCAAAAGGTATCCGCTCAAACAGCGACAAAGCTGGCCCAAGAACTGGCCTAGAACTCTAAATTTTATACTCATTTTCAAACAAAAAGGTAGCATCTTCAGTCTAAAGTGATATTGATAAAGCATCTAATCATAAACTCTCAACAAAGTCGAAGAGTACGTAAAACATATTACAAAGAAAACATAAAAAATTTTGTCAAAGCCACTGCCTGTCCAATAAAGAAACAAAACAAGCTCAATAACACAAACCAAATCATTAACGAAGAGTAATACAAATAAAAAAAAAAACAACAAAGCAACAAAACGTAAAGACAAAAATTTAAGCCGATTAATAACCATAAAATATCGAAATAAGTAGACGCAAACAAACGTGAAAACAAATGAGAAAATCATCCAATCAACAACAATACACGCATGCATACATACATACATACTTACTAGGAACGCACTTTGCCTTGCCATCACATTAAAGTCACTTTATAATCAGTTAGTGAGTATGTATATGTAATTCTCAACGACAACAGGCAAAATCAGCATCAATGCGCCAGCCACCTGACCAAAGAAAGCAAACAATAAATTAGGCAGGCAAATGTAACACCATCGAGGCTGCAATCGAAACAAATTAAGGCAGCACGTGGTAGTGCATTGACTCAGTTAAATAATGTCAGCGGCATTTAGTGTTGTACATTTAATGATTCACACGTATGTTCCCTGTAAGAAAATCTAATAGGTATATAGGCAGAGTGTTGTCGATTAGTCAATTGAAATTAGTTGATGCCATACCTACCCCTACATATCTTTCAACGATCCTGATTCTCTAGCGAGTCCTTGCAGATCCTTAAATTGAGGTTCTCGAAGATGTGGTCCACAGAAATTTGAAGACTCTTTTTCGGAGTGCAGGGCACTCGCAAAGGAAGTTATAGCCGGATTCTATCTCTTTTTCGTCTCTGCAGAAATCGTTATATGGGGCTCCGAACCTAGCAAACCGTCATTGTTACTGTGAGAAGCCCCTAACCTTGGCTTTGATAGCCCTAAAAAACTCCGCGATCTTCGTTTGTCGAGTCGTAAGCAGAGTGAGCGCGATACAGCGCAGGTCTGCAGATTAATCCAGCTGCTGTTGCTGACTGCCGTGGTCACCTTCTCAACTTGTGAAGACAGCAATCGCAGGGAAAGTTTTACGATCAGATGTCTGTCTACCGCACTCGTCCGCTTTCTCAGTAAAGTAAAGATTGGTTATGTGTCGTTGAAGAGTTTGTAGGGGTTTACGGCATTCCCTAACGTATATCAAGCTAGTCGTAGTCGGGCCTAAGGCTTTGAAGGCTGCTTGACTGTCAACAACGAAGGCAGGTTAAGATGTACGAGGTCAATGCTTACCAGCTTTGCCGCCATGTCAATTGCTTTTACGTATCTCAGGTCTCAGTCTAGAAAACGCTGAAGTCGTCTGTGAGTCTACAAGACTCTCTCAAAGATAATTTCTGAGAGAAGACCCCAGATTCAATGTCCGTTTTGGAGCCATCCGTAAAAATGGGGAATTCGTCATCGCTTATTAACTCCCAGTCATTTCTGTTGGGAAAATTTATTTCGAAATTTCGGTAACAGACAGAGTAACGATGGTATCGTGATCCTTGTTGCAAGTTGATCGCAGCCTATTAGACGCCCTGGGACGTAGAGTGCTTCTAGCAGCGGCACTATTATATATTATTTATAAGTGGAATATCCAATTATACTTTCTAACATCGCCTGGGGTGTTGAGTTGATTGCTCCTGTTATGTATTTCAGCCTTGACGTTGCAAACTTTGTAGATTGAGTAGATTAGATTTGATGTGAACCTCCTTCCACTATACCACTAGGTCAGAATAAGTCTAACTACCGTCGTATATACACAGTGTATTATCTTCGGCTGTAGCCCCCAATCCTTTCCAATCGTAGTTTTACAGTAGTAGCGCCTTTTTCCGCTCTGTAGTTTCCTCTTTAAGGAGAGTTTAGAGCGGATAATAACCTTCAAAAATGTTTTCTCTTTTCAATATTTAAAATTTGCGTCATTGCGTGACGGAGTTCGAAATTTGTCTAGCGTATGTCGTTATATCGTTTTTCGGATTCGGTTAACCGCTAGACCGTTCTTTTCTGCCCCCCCCCCTGCCGGGTCTTTAATAGCGGATTGTAGAATCTCACTGACCATCCAGATGAACTTCCCTACGACCAGAAAGACTAAGTCATCTACAAACGCAGCGACCTTAGTGGCTTTCGATCTACGAAGCAAAAGTTCGTTTAGCACAAGGTCACACATTGGGGAGATGAACCCGCTACCCTCACCCCCCTCTTGAGGTCTACCACGTGTGGCTGTACTCTATATTTCTGCGGTTCCCAAAGAAACATTTATAGTTCTGATACTCATCATATTGTCGATCGAGAGAGTGATCAGTAAATCCAGTCCAACGGCAATTCAAAAAGGCTGCCAGCGCTTATCCTTTGTGGTATAACACTTGCTCTCTACATCCTCATGTAGGGCGGATCTATTTTCGTATACGAGGAATCTGAATTTGAAAATTATTTTTACCAAAAACGAACGCGAGACGGTACGATTTGGTGCAAAAAAACATGGTTTCACGGTTCCACAGAAAATACCCGAATATGTTCTGCATTAATAAGAAGAAATGCCTATACTATGTTCCCAGGTTTTCCTCACAGGGTATGTACTAGGTAATAAATACTAAATACTATTTGACTTAAGAAACAACTGGAAAAGTAATACTCTACAAGTGGAAAGTGTATAATAAGTATGTATGTATGTATTTATTTAGAGCATAGCATTTGTCATTTAGGGTAAAATGGAACTTGTGATAATATTTTAAACGGCTTGTTAAACATACTCGTACATTGGAATGCTTGAAACTATGTGCATACATAAATAGAAAAACAAAGTCGCTTCTCTCTGCCCATGCCAATCATAATTTAAACACAACAATTCGTTAAATAAGTTTAATGGAAATGTGAATTGCCGAATTTCGTTTTCTTGCTCCCCCTTTTTGAATTTTCGAATAATTGGGCTTGGAAATGAAAATATTTCAGGGAAGCAATAAGCACCATAAGGATTCTACTGTCTAATCTGGCAAAGAGTCGTCGGCATATTCCTGGAACTATGCTACAATGTTGGTTAAGTAAGAGCGCTGAGTCAGATAGGGTGCCGTGCACGCCTTGAGTCATAGAGACCCGTAGAGAATACTAATCAAAATCCTATTGTTCCTTTTCTCGCAGCAACTGTCGCCGAAGTTTCGACACGGTGGGCGGTCTGCAAGAAGTCGTAATTGCCTACACTCCTGCCATAGCATCAATGGAAGTCCAGAAGTCTAGCAGATCGTCGAATTTTTCCGACTGAAAATTCCATGTGGGGTACACCTGCAGGCTAAGAAATGCTTCAACCTTACAAAGCAAAACCACCAACTAAGTGCTGGCATTCTCTTGAGTAGACTGCAAATTAGTTGTAACGAACCGAATGCCAAGCATCGCTCTTAAAGTAGCTATAAGACAAAGGATAACATTATTCGCAAAGCGTGATATTTATTAGGCAAGAAAATTCGGGGCTGTTTTTCTACATAACCTCGAAAATAGGAACAACTCGCATTTTTTGCCTTTTCAGGTTAGGATATTTAAAAAGCCTGATGTGACGTCCTATCTCAGAAAACTTTTCAAGAAGGCCCTACTTCAGAATTTGATTGAAAAACGCCATGTTTCAAATTTTATTGAAAAACACCCTATCTCAGAATTTTGTTGAATAACGCCCCAAGAAAAATATTTTTATAAACTTATTTTGTTTATTTTTTTGATTAAATTTTCTTAAAATGTTTGGCTTTTATTGCTTAAAAAAGATTTTTTGTTTATTTTTTAATAACTTTTCTTATTTTCATTTCATTTCCTTTTAATTTTTAGTTTCTACAGCGTGGCGATGAATAACTGTTACGCAGTTTTTTTTTTAACAGAAGAGTCCTTTACAAATTTTGCGGATAAAGTATTTTATTTTTCTACAGATTTTACTTAAATTTTATTAATTACTTAGTTTTAAAATTTTAATCCTCATTTGCATTTGCCAGCAGTGTAAGCCATGCACGCAAGTCTTTTTCAGGTGTATTTTTTCTTAGACCTTGCATAGAAAAATTCAAAAAAAAAAAACGAAAACCCGTATAGGGTTGGTCGAATGAATGACCGTCCTAGTCACCAGTTCCGAGTCCATTCCATTTCTGAGTATGAGCCCTTATTTTGGACAAAAGGGTGAGTATAGAGGACTCAAAGTGGAGAAAATTCGCTTATGGTTGTGGAAGATATGGAATAAATTAACCCACGAAGACTCGCGTGCCGCTTGCGCTTTTCTCTCAAAGTGCTTACCGCTGGTAAACCGAAAAGAGAGGTTAAAATTTAAATACTAATTAATAAAATTAAAGTAAAATCTGTGGAAAATTAACGATAAAATACCTTATCCGCAAAATCTATGGATCGTTTATATTTTATTTTCAAAAAAAAAAAAAATGGGTAACAGTCATTCGTCGCTACCCTGTATTGTTTTGAAAGTAAAAATTTACATTTTTTATTAAGTTTAATTTTTATAGAACTTTTTGCTACAATACAATTAGTTACATTAGTTTACAATTAGTTTTTCGAAATACAGAAGAGAGCTTTCGCGTTCGATGCCAGAGTTTTGTCTTTCGAAAGACTGTGGCGTATTTAAAGACGGTCGCTAGAATTGTCCTGTATGAGGAATTAGGCAACTTTCAAGTAAATTTAAAAGAAAAAAGACTTACCATTACTATTTGTAGCATTAATGCGGCATAATTTTTTGAAGAGCAGCATTGTTTTCGATTTAACTTGACATATTGAATTTACAAAGATAAATGAAACAAAAAATTCAGCAAAAATTTTAGTACCAAAAATTTGCGCTAATATTCACTATCAATTAATGCACCTCGTCAATACAACACAAAGAATTTTTAAATAAAAAGTTTAATATTTTAAATTAGTTCATTATATTTGTCTTAATTTTTTTTTTGAGCACCTCTTTATTAGTTATTTATTAAAAGCACGCTTAGGTACACTTTTTGCACATTTAAAATTTTCCGCCACTAAAATAATCAACAATTTCTCAGGAGCGACTAACACAATAGTTGCAAATTCACTTCCTACTTGCAGGTATGTAAGTAGATTCATACGTAGTATGTAGGTTAAACAACATAATAAATATTATTCATAATTTATAATTATTATATAGCACCGATAAATATACCATGGGATTTAATATTAACTACTCCCAACCGATTGTGAGCTGCATGCATTTCCGCCAGCTGAACACAATGCCACAACATAACTTGTCAACCAAGCCGGCAAGCCAATTGCTTAGCTTTAAGCAACACGACACACGTTTAATCATCGGTTAGTCAGTGTTTGAAGCACAAAAGCGTGTGCGCACGCGCAAGCTATCGAATACCGGTCACTTGGTCGATATCTAATGATAAGCGTTAAAGCTGCAACACCTTGGCTGGCACGTGCCACACGTACCACGAATGACCAGCAACTGCGACAATAACAAACTACGACGACAACAGCTGGCGCATAGCACACAGCGGAGCACAAGCAACTGCAGCCGGAGAACCTTTCGGCGGTAGCTAGGGAAAAGAAATCGAACCTTCGACGGTCGCTTTGCGCTCGTTTAGTGGTTATTTTTTTTTGCTGTTTTACTGCTTAAGAAAGTTGAGTCGCTCGCAAGCTAAGCGACATTGACACTTTTTATACGCTGCTTACATGCTGTTTTTCTTCATAGCTTTAACACTTGGTTTTTTTTTTGTAACTTAACAGTTTGTACTTTGTGTGCCTGCCATTAGCTCGGCTCAGTACACTTCTGTGCCAAAGCGTACTTTATGACAGTGGTTTTATTTTATTTTATTTATTTAGTTTTTTTTTTTAAACTTCCGTTAATTACATTTAATTTTCTTTGATTTCTATACTTTTTCGATAAGTTCTTGTGCAACAACACACAAACGAAAAATCGTACGGAAACAACCGTTGGAGCTGACTTCTGAGCCATGCCACGACTAATTAACGAATAAAAAGTAAATTTCAGCAAATGCCCCAACCTTATTGAAATACACGCAGACAATGGAACAGAATGCGTTGCGAGTGGATACACGTACTGTGTAAGTAACTGGGCTAAAATGAACATAAAAAATGCATACATACATACATATTTATGTACATAAGTACTTATGAAATTGCAAATATATCTACATACATACATGGCATGGCATATATGGTTTATTATGCTAAGAGAAAACGCTTCAGTGATTTTGGACGTTCCATTTTTTACTTTGTTTAACTTTTCTACCCTCCCCCTCTGTTGCCTTTGCCGTATTGTTGGCACTTCAATTGCAGTCCGTCACTGATGGATCCCGCATTGAAAGAAATAATGTATAGCGGTCTCATTGCGTAGCACAGTTCAACTTTGGCAACAATAAATAGGAACTAAAGTTTATTGCACACAGTTACATATGTACATATGTATGTACATTAGACCGTACCACCTTACACGCTATCAATCAAAAAAAAAAGTTCGCCGTAGACCCCTGAGTATAAATGGTCGAACCTAGCGGTGGCAGCTGCCTTCGGCAACCAATTTTTGTTATATTAGTTTTAATCGAATAATCGAAATTTTTGCCTGGGCAAAATTTTAATAATTTTTGGCGAGCTTTAATTTTTTGACATTAGGGTGGGGCGTTTGGTTTATACGAACTGAGATCTGAGAACATTGGAACGAAAAAACTCAATTTTTATAAAGGGGAATTATAAAAAACCCGCATATCTGAACAATCAGTGGTATGGAGACTATATGTTATAGTAGTCCGATTTTGCCGATTCCGACAAATGATTAATACATTATAAAATTACAACCACTTACCAAATTTCCGTCAGATATCTTGAAAACTGAGGGACTCAATTGTGTTCAAACAGACAGACAGATGGACATGAATCGACTCAGCTCGACATTCTAGTCCTTTAAGTATTCGTTTTCATGGGTATTCTTCTAGTACTTAGAAGCATCGGATCAAAGTTTTAATGCCATTTCATGTTCATGAAAGGTATAAAAGACGATTCGCAAACATCTGTGTACGGCTTGGCAAAGCATTATGCGATTCAGTTGCATACATAAATAGGTTAGGTTGGAACAAAAGATATGGTCGAAACTAAATGCCATTCTCGTAGTTTCGTTCCCAAGATCGCTTAAAACCCCATACCGAAATAAGAAAAAAAGCCTTCGGAAGTGAGAACAAAACTGTCTAGAACGTTCTCAATGAGAATGGTATAAGAACAAAACCCTGTGGAACGTTCCCAAAGAGAACAAAATGGGAACAATACTTCTGGAAACATTTCTAAGAGAACAAAATGGGTTCGTAAGTTCCCGGAACGTTCTGACAAAGAACAAAACGGGAACAATCTCGAATCACAATTTGGGAACTAAGGTCCAGGCAATTTTCTGACAGAGAACAAAATGGGGGCAAATCATCTCTGAACTATACGCGAAGGATGGAGGAATTTTTCCGATACCTTTCCATTATTTAGAAATGTTTGAAAATTAAAATTATTCAAAAAATAACCGAAAGATAATTATGCAAACTAAGTCAACGAAAGACTTAAGACACGAACTTCTCTTGTACAGGAAATTAAAAATTTTACCATAAATGGTCAGATCTAATGATAAACAATCTAGAAGTTGAAATGGTCCATTAAGTTCTCAAAACGTTTGTTCTCGTTTTTCTTCTCTGGCAAAACGTTTTCCAGACTATTGTTCTTATTTCATCCTCCCTGAAATGTTCCCGAAAGTTTCGTTCTCATTCTCTTCTTCTTGAGAACATTCCCGAGAGTTTTGCACCCATTTTGTTCTTAACGGAAACGTTTCCGAACCTTTTGTTTCAGTTTGGTTCTTTTGTGGGAACGTTCTTGACAATATAATTTGTACTCGCGCAGGACTAAACCAAAAACGGAAGCGTACTCAGTCTCTGGCATTATTTTCATTTCAGTTTATTCAAATTGCCCTGAAGTAGTTCTGAAGAAGTCGTGAACTTGTCCACGAACAAGTCTTTAAGGATCCTGAAATGGTTCCTTACTCGTTCCAAAATGATCCCAAACTAGTCCCGAAATGCTCCTGAAATAGCCCTAAATTAGTCCCAAAAAAATGGCCCAGAAATAGTACTGAATCAGTCCCGAAAAAGTCCTGAAATGGTCCTCAACTAGTTACAAATAGTACAGAACTAGTCCCACAATAGTCCTGAGATAGTCGTGAAACAACCCCCGAAACGCTAAAAAATTTGAACCTGTACCAAAATTATCTCGAACATGGCGTTAAACGGCCGCGAAATAGTCCCTTATTGGTCCCAAAATGATCCTGAACTAGTCCTAAAATGATCCCGAAATGCTGTTACTCAGTCGTGAACTTATCTCGAAATGGACCTGAAATAGCGCTGAAGCAGTGCAGAAATGATCATTTCTACACATAAGATGTAGTTACAAATTTTCTGCTGGGTTATCGCAAATTTTACCCATACTGAGAGCTAATATGTTTGCACATCAAAAATTGGTTCCGAAATTTTCTTACAAAAATACATACTTTAGATTCGAATGAACTTTTTTTCTGGTACATTCTAATGTACATAATACATACGTATGTATGTAAATACTCATAACTATCTACTAGTGAACGCATTAGTCTATCACTTAAAATCATATGTTTTTGAGTTAATTTGCTATGGCGGCACATACATCAGCATAAAGATAGCATTTTACTTTGACATAAAAGTTGCTAGTTAGATACATGTATAAGTAGATACATACATACATACATATGTATGTATGCGAGCACTCATAATGCACATTCAACCAAATGTGTCTATCAACTTTTCTAAGCTCAAAAAGGTACATAATTACGCACAAATATGTAGAAGCAAATGCACTCATTATCATGGAAAAAACGCTGCAAATACAGACACAAAATATGTATGGATTTATATATAAAAGTATATAAAAAGAATATATGTGTGTATAAAGTTGGCTTGTTATGTTTCGACATTAAAAGTTTACGCTTTGCTGGTTCTAATGTTTTCAAATTTAAATTATCGTACAAATGAAAAATTATAGGTGCACTGTAAGCATAATTAAAGCACCCTCTAGGAATTTATATTCGGTTAGGTTAATGTGCGTGAAACGGTAATCGACCGGTGTGGAGTCTAACTTAAAAGCCCTTTTCTGTCATCCGAATTTCGGATTCCGAAAGTCAAACTGAAATACCTGCTTACGAGGATGTCTGAGCACCAATATGTTTGTCTTTTAGCAATAAGTTTTCTAAAAATGAAATTTAAAGTAATTTATATTTTTCTTTTTTTAGACTAAAAATTAAAATAAAACATAAATAAAAAAGAAAAAATCAAATTAAAAGAGCAAGCATAAATAAAATAAGTTTCCAAAAATGAAATAATTTTAGAAAATATAAGTTTCCTTTTAAAACAACAAAATCCAAATATTAAATAAAAAAAGAACAAAATAAAAGAGGTTGTTAAAAGGTTAAACAAAAAATATATTTTTCTTTTTAAATCAAAAAGATCTAAAATTAAACGAAAACAGAATTAAAAAATAATAATTGAAAAACGGACAAAAATACATAAAATAGGGTTTTAAGAATTAAATGAAATTAATTAATTATTTTTCCTTTTCAACCCATAAAATTTTAAACTTAAAAAATTGCATAAAAATAAGAAAAACGTGAAATTAAAAAAAAAAACCCGCTTCCCGGGGATTTGAACCTCCGATATTTC